AATTTCCTTTCTTGATACAATGAAGCTCATGATTCCTCATAAATTCACTGAAATTTAGTAAAAAATTTTACAATCTTAAATGAGTTAAAATTAACCTAGATTTTTTTAAAATACTATTTAAAGGGGGGAAAGGAAAATGACTATCTTCTTGTCTCAAATCATTTTTTACTATTGATTTTAGAGAAACTCTGTTGCCATCTCATGCTTTATTAAGCAACCCTTCATCATCTGAGGTTGGCATTGAGCCACAGTGTGACCAACACACCAAAGGTCTTTGTTTTCCTGATTATAGCTCTTAAGAAATATATATATATATATATATATATATATATGGTATATACACACACATGTACATGTATATATATGTACATGTGTAGCCGCATATCTATAGGAATGTGGTGGGTTACACAGAAGAGAAGCTATCATTGTTTGTGATTTCCAATATCGTTGGCAAATTTTATAGATGATTCAAGCATTGGGATAAGGGATGTCCATTCATATGTCAGACCTGGCAGCAGAAAGTTATCCTTAGAGCTTCAGTTCAGAGCTATCTGTGTTTTCATCTAGTTTATCATATTGCTTTCCTTGTATTTTATAAGGCCTTTTGATGCTTTCTGTGCAAAGATTACTTTCATCTGGAATTTTGTCTTCTGTGTCATGATTAGTCATCTAGCCGTTGCTTTAAAAGCCTCCCATGGGGTTTTCATGGTTTAGATTGCTTTGACTATTAAAGAGCAGTTTTGCTTTTGAATGAATCCTGATGAGTCTGGTCCTGAAAACGCACGGTTTCTGCTCTGTGCCCCACAGGAAGCGTACCCTTTCTTGCCTTTGTGACCCTTAACATGTCAAAAACCAATGATCCTGGTCCTTCAAAGTCTTCCCCAGCCTGGGTAGAGGCTTCTGAATCCTGTAAAGCCTGAGATAGTTTTAGACAAAATGCACACCACAGCCAGTGTCTAGCCTGTCCCTGGGAAAGCCTGTGCTATCTGGCTGACGCAATACTGCAGTAAGGGGAAAGTAAGCGGCTCCTCTCTGGGCTCCAAAGCTCAGTTATCAGCCTGGATTTACACTCTGGGGTCATATCTAACTGGCCTGCTTCCATGTTCATGTCCATTCTGTCTCTAAAAAGAAAAGTTAAGATTGTTTTATGTTTATGTATGTGAGCATTATATTCATAATCTGTGCACCACATGGCGCTCACAGTGCTGTCTTGTATGTGGAGAGTGGTCTGGTCTGGAGTAGCCGCTAGACTGGAAGTGGAACTAGGTCTAACTGGGCTGTGTGTCCAGCCCTTCTCTGGTTTTTACACAACAGCATGGCCCTGTAAGCTGCTTCCCTAACCACACTCCAGTCCCAGCTTCCGTGGTCACTGTCCCTTTATCTCTGACGTTATGTGCTCCTGTGGATGTCTCTAAATGACTTTGAGTTTTGTTTTTATATACATTTTAAAAAGACTGTTTTTCCAAAGTGGGATAAAAACAGTCATTGTCCTACAGTTTTAAGTTTTCTTGTTTTAGACAAGGAAGGACTTTTAGTTTTTAGACAATTACTTCATAATTTTAGACAATTATTTTAGACAATAAAGGCTTACTGGTTGCTCATTTACTGATTTATATGATGACGGGGTGACTGGCTGTGGTCCTTGAGGCAAGTTGCCTTTGGCCATGCGACAGAAAAGGTTAGGTAGAAAGCTTTTTATAATGCTTTCTGCTCAAATTCATTACCTCAGGGCTCACTTGTGGCTGATGGCTAAATGTCCAGCCAGTGACAGTTTTTCCTGAGACAGGGTTCCCTGTAATTTAGACTGACTACACTCACTGTGTAGCCCAGGTTGTCCTAGTATTTGAGATGCTCCTGTGTCAGCCTTCCGAGTACCAGGATTATAGCTGTACACCATCATACCATGCCAGGCTTCCAGTTACTGTAGGGGAATAAGCTCCTTGACATTTTGTGAAGAAGAGAGGTTTTTAATGCTAATTTTACTGTGTAGTTTTGAAGTTTGTGATTTGATGTCATGGGATCTATAGGATAATAGTATAGTTACTACAGGAAAGCAACTTAACATGCCCATCATCTCATTACTATAATAAAGCAAGTTAAAAATGTCCTTTAAAATGGAGAACTAACAAGGCAACTTCACCTAGTTTCTCTGGTAGTTAAAAGAGGTTTATTTCGGGGTAATTTACAACCAGTAAAGGGGTCGGTTACAGGACCTGGGAGAGGTGAGGTGTGGTCCAGTGTGGTTCTCTGGAGAACTCTGACTTTGTCTGCCATCCAGTATCACGAGGAGCCAAGAGAGCCCGCAGTACACATCTTGGGTCTTTAAGGGCTCCCATCTCGGCCACGCCCCAGGGGCAGGTCATAGGCTTGTGTGGCAGTTACTGGCTGCCTCACTAGGGGCAGTGCTTCAAGGTCAAAGCTGGAACAGCTACCCACTACAGTCCATCATCTCACGTCTTATATTTTTGAATGAGAAGAGTGGCTAAAATGAACTTAATTAATATAATTCCAATAAAATGCAACTCTACAATTAGTTTAGGTGTTAGGCATTAGCTCCTTGCACTACCTAATTTCAACCTGCCTTTTGCTACTTATCCTTTGAACTACACTTTCTGTTTCCTCACCCACTTCCCTTGTCCCAGGTAAGCACAGTTTAATTTTCTATTTCTGCAAATTTGATCAACATTTTCTTCTGACTTGGAGGATATGGTCTTAAGTCAAATGAGGCAGGTACAGAAAGAAAAGGATCACATGGTCTCACTGACGTGTGCAGTTTAAAAAGGGAAGAGACATTTGAATGCCTCGGGGAGAACAGTTTATAAAGACAACGTCCAGAGTTCCTTCTGTGTTTCCTTTAGGGCATCTTCCTAGAAAGTATGAAAGAAAAGGCTCCGATCCGTGACCCAGACTGGAGGGTCTTGGTCTCTTCTGCCAAGACTTTACTAAAATTGATGAAAGATTGCATAATGTAATATATTTTTTTTTTTAAAAAAAAAACCTACTTAAGTATTTTTCTAAACAAAATTACGTTTTCTGTGCTTTGGTAAATAAAAATGGCAAGGTTTTTGTGTATAGGTTATTTCTAGAAGGTGGCCTTACTGCTTATTGGAACGAGGGCAATAGTACCAAGAGTGGCTGCAATCTGATGGGCTGCTTTACTAAGGATGCGTGCGTGTTGCTGGCTTTCATGCATTTCTCTTGTGGTTTACTAAAGAGGGAAACATATGCTTGAATAATGTGTTCCCATGCTGAGAAACTTAATTAGTTTCCATGATGAGTTCCAGCTGAAAAGAAAATGTTTCATGAATTAGCAGTAGAATGAGTTTGTATCATCAGCTTGTCTGCTCCGTAAGCCTGTCTTGAGACACTTCTCTTCCTCACCCTTCGTCACAGTTCTGTAAGACTCAGCTGCAATGCGTTCATCCCCCAGTAGTGGTGGGCCATTAGTTCAAGAACACTCAGCAAATGCCAAAATCTGAAGGTGATCAAATTTATTTATAAAATGGCTTCCAGGTTTGGTGGTCCCTCCTGTAATCTCAGCAGTTGGCACTGAGGTAGGAGGACCACAGGTTCGAAGCTAGCCTAGACTGTGTAGTAAAAACCTATTTTAGAAAAGTCAAAAAGTGTATTTACACGTAATCTTTAGAAATCCTACCTGTGTATTTTAAATTATTTCTAGATTATTGTTAATAATACCTGATCATATAGGGTAATAGATTTTTATACAGAATTTACACAGAATAATGATAAGAGTAAAAATATAAAAAACACTATACCACTCTAGTACATGCAAACTTTTCAGATACCTTCAACCTGAAGATTGGAGAGCCCACTCTAGTTCAGAAGGATGGTCCTTGGAAATAACGATGACTTAATCCCCTACTGTACAAAACCACACATCTCAAGCTAAAATTAACCTAAGTAAAGTAGTAACTTGTGACACCTAGGCTTGGTTTGGTTCTGTTTTTAAATTATTTCTACCTAGAGTATCCACTGTGCTACCAGGGATGGTAATTACTACCCATTAGAGCTGAGAACGTAAATATGCATCTGGTCTTAGTAAGGATATGCTGAGCTACAGCCCAGATGCTGAAGACTCGGTGTGAATAAGGTACACATGAAGTAGAAGCTCCTTTCCCCTGGCCGCCTGTCCCCGCTCTATAAAAGCATGGTTGTATAAGACAACTGGGATTGCACTCAGAGGCTCCTCTTCTGTTTCTCTTTGGCAGCGGTGACTGAGTGTGGTTGATTATGTGTGGCTCAATAATTGGTAGCAGCTTCATCACTAATGCAGAACCAGACCAACTTTATATAGTCTTCTTTCGTTTAGAACTTTGTGTGTGTTTTTCCTCACCCTCACATGCATTGTGGGTATATCCCCTCCAAAGCTGTGCTTATTTCCCCCCCGCCCCATGTCTGGGTTAGCAAACACCTGCTCCCAGCTGCTTCCTCACTGATTATTAACATGTGTGTATATTAAGGTCTCGAGAATCTGCAGACTATCCTGTGAAACTATTGTTGCTTTCTTCACATTGATTTCTCTCTTCCCTGACAGTAGTTTGCATCTGTAAACTGTATCAAAAAGCTAAGACTTAATTAGATTCTGTTTTAGATAATCTTTTATGGTGTCATGCTTCCTTGATTAAAAGAATTTGGAGAATAACTTTTTGTATCATTCATCTTTTTTATTTTTTAATGATCTTCAGTCTACTACATTCTTTCAGTAGATAGTTAAGGCCCTTTCATATGCTGTGACTTTAGTTATTCGTTCAGCCCCAGGTGCTCTAATAGCTGCCACCTGCACCACAAAGCATAGGCTTGTGATTTATGTTTATAGTTTTGTTTTGCATAAGCCAACTTTTCAAGTGATGCTTTGAAGAAAAGTTGTGGCACTTCTATAAAAAGCATGAAGGAAATTCAGTTATGTTTTTCTTCTTGTGTATTTCTCCATCTGTAATTTTTTTTTACCTTTAACACCTCTTGTTTTGTTGAATGTGCAGGATGATGCTCGCCAGCTCTTTGTGCTTGCTGGGGCTGCAGAAGAAGGCTTTATGACTACAGAGCTTGCTGGAGTCATAAAGAGATTGTGGAAAGACAGTGGTGTGCAAGCCTGCTTCAACAGATCCAGAGAGTACCAACTGAATGATTCTGCAGCCTAGTAAGTAGCCACAGCTTCAGAACTCAACTTCAATGAGTGATCATGTGCTGGTAAATCTATCTCCATGTCACTTGTGCTGAAGAATTGCCTGGCACATTCTTATACAACTCGTGTTTCCTGAGTGACAATATTTGAATGGTTTCTCTGTCATTTATTTTTTTTTTTGTATGTTTGTGGTAGCAGTGCTGTTATTACACGTTTTCGAAAAGCCTCATGCATATGTAATCTTTAATTGAAACTGTATAGAAAAGGATTGTCTCCAGTATACTTCTAGAATGTCACTGAAACTTCCAAAAATACACTCTGCATTTCTCAGAGCACTGATCTGCACTTAGATACTCCCTGCACCCTCTTACTCTTGGTAAGCTGTCTGTGCCTTAGACAGGGTGGTGTAGATGTCTTGTTTAGGTTTGAGCCCTCAGCCATCACTCATTCTCTTAGACATCCATGAGGCTCAGCATTCACCACCATTTACTGTAAAGAGAGGCTTCTCTCATTAAGGCTGAGAGTAGCTTTTGTCTGTGAGTATAAACCTACATATTTAGAAAGTAGCTTATGTTATATCAATTTAGTAACTATAATTGGGCCTACAACTTCCCCAGACAAGTTGTTAACAGGATTCTTAACTGTGGAGCAGGTCTCGATTCAAACAGATGGCATTGGTTACCCCTGTAATAGTGGTACCACTATTGAACGATGGGGACATCTTGCCTGGAAGCTTAGATTTTTGACTCATAGGGTTCACAAGACCAGTGATGCCTTTTCTCTCCCAGCAGCCTGCATAGCACCTCTGAGACTTTAATGCTTGCCTTCAGGGAAGAAACGGTTCCAGCTTGCTTTTTCTGTATCTTAAGCTGAAGTGTGTTGTACCTTTAACCGTAGGGTCTTATCCTCTAATAGTGATGGGCAAGTAAGGCCACTGACAAGAGCCTGTATTGGTTTGGGAGACTCGAACAGAACAGTGTGGGTTTCCCTGTGTGAAATATAAGGCTAGCAGGAAACAACATCGCAGCAAAAGTCTTTGCTGAGCTTTCTTGCCACTGCCTCCACAATTAAGACCTGTGAAATCTTCAACAGAGGGGAAAGTATCGACCCAAGCACGGTGTTACCCTAAAAGTGTAAGGAAGAATTTTAAGAAACAAGCTCATGATGTTTTTAGTTTAGACATTTTTGAGCCACTTTCCTTTGAATTGCTATGACTGAAAAACAAAGCTTAACAAATTTAAACAGACACTAAATGATTCTTGAGTGTTTGTGTGACATGGAAACTTAAACTCGTTGTTTTCTATGCTCATAAAGACCCTTGAAAACTTAAGAACACCACATAATTAAAATATGCTGTAGTTTTCGTTTTAAGTAATAGTTTTTGCCTCTAGTTCCTGTTATCACTGTGTTTGTTGTTTGCTTGTTTTCAGTTATCTCAATGACTTGGACAGAATAGCACAACCAAATTATATCCCGACGCAGCAGGATGTTCTCAGAACCAGGGTGAAAACAACGGGGATCGTGGAAACCCATTTTACTTTCAAAGATCTCCATTTTAAGTGAGTAGCTTCCAAATATATGCCTTATAAGCTTGGTTATAAAATGCATTGCTTTAGAAGCAAAAGGCAAAATAACAAATGTTTATAACATTTTTACTGCTGGAAATTTTTTTTATAAGATTAGACAAAATAAATTTATGGAAATGAGCAAGAACAACATTTTCAAAAGAATATGTTGATTTTTATTTAAGAAAAAATAACCAGACAAGTTCCCTTTGCCTGTTATTTTTCCAGTGCCCGAACTATAATAGAGCCTGGCTGTTTTGACTAAATGAAGCTATGTCTTTAATTTATAGGTCCATGTCTGATGAAGGAAGGCATCTCTGTCTGTCTTTAGGTAAAATAGGGAGCTTTAGTTTTAGAATATGTTCTTACTTATAAAAATGCATTTAAAGAAAGGTGCCTTTGAATTTTTTCATGAAGCAAACTGATATTTGAAGTCTGGTGGTGGGCAGTGTTTGCTTCGGGTGTGTCCAGTGTGAACCTGCTTGGGAAGAACAGTACAGCATGATGCATTAGGAATGGAAGGGCTTGGGGGATGTCCCTCCAACTTCTCACTTGGGATAAGCCAGTTTGAGAGGAAGGCAATACACAGCATATAGACATTCATAAAATTGCATTTCTCTTCTAATAAATAATACTTTTTAAAAAATGAGAAAGACAAGGACTGAGTCACAGCCAAATCCCAGTTTTAATTTACCCCCAGCCCCACAGCTCCTCGACAGCGACTTTCGTCCACTTTTCCCTTGTAGATGACCTGCGGCCGGATTTCTTTGTTTACTCTTTATTCCCCATTCCTTTGTTCTTATTGCTCCACTTGCTAACCCAATGGTTGCACATGTACCATGGTGTTCCTCATTATGTCCCCCTCACTCTCATTGAAGTCATAATGATGAAATCAAGGAAAATGAGGAACTGATTTCATATAAAGATGTCCCTGAGAACAATAACTTGACTACAGAGTGTTTTACTGAAACAAAATGCCTGTGTTTTCACAGAAATCCAAGACCACTGTGCTGTTACTTAATGTTTACAATTATATACTTATTTAAGATTATAATTATTACTCTTTTTTTCCTTCATATTATGTTTCTATATTTTGAAGCTCTATTCAGGACCTGGAGAAAATTGTTTTTCAAAACCACATGTCTTATGATTCAATTTGATTTAAAATGACACATTCCCTAAGTGCCAGTTTTGTGTCCAGAGGAAGGGAATCCTGATGTAAAGCCCTTGGACAGCTTCCTGGGCCCGTCTGTCACACAAACCTGACAGTAGATTACTCAGACTGTATTAAATACCTTGTTCCCTAGACAATATAAATATCAGCTAATTAGTAACCCCCGAAAAAGAATACAATGCTAGAATTAAATGTGTTGCGTGGGTTTGTATCATTTTTCTTGTTCAGCAGGTGGGGGTTTCCTTTTGTTTTCTTAAACCAATGTGAGTGAGACTGGTTTGGGGAGCACTTCAGTTGTGCTCTGTGTGAGGTCCCGCCTTCCTGCTCCCACAGAAAGTTACAGATCTGATGACCAGACTGAGCAGACCCCACTTGTCACTACAGAAATTATTAGAAAAGAAATTGATGATATATGACTTCCCTTATGAAAACTGTCTTGATATTCATACCCCATATTTTGTTAAGGTTTCATTTTTTTTAAGTTTTATGAGAGATTAGAGAGATTAGATAAATCATTGTTTAATATACTCATTACACATTTTCTTTTTCAGGTTATCTTTAGTGCTTTATGTTTGGTTTGTAGAAATTCAAATTGCATATGATTGAAAAAAGTATATCCCCTTAGCTTTTCTTCTACACCGTCACCACAGTATCTGGAAAGTTGAAGGAAAAAGGAACAAAAGGGAAAACTAGCAGCCACTGCTAACTCATCCGTTCGACGTCACTGTCTACAGCACCTTGAAATGAACTAGTTCATGTTGTCATTGAAATTACCCTTATTGTTTTGCTTATAAAATGCTCTGGTTCAAGATAGTCATTCAAAAGAAAGCATTACTATGAATCATGGGTTAGACTGCTTCAGGTAGCTTTGAGTCTCTAAAATGACAAGGATAATGGAACAGATTTTCTAAAAGCAATTTAATCAAGGAGATTCTCAGTCGGAGATTTGTTAGAAAACAAACCGTTGTCAGTTCACTTCCCAATGAAGGCTCAGTACTCCATGCTGGGAAGTTGGAGCAGTTACCTACTGACAGACAGTTCCATCTCAGCTTGCTTCTGTGTGTGTGTGTGTGTGTGTGTGTGTGTGTGTGTGTGTGTGTGTGTGTCTGTAAAGGAAGCCTACCTGCTGATGTCACTGTCACTGATTATCAGGGATTCCCATATTAAGCTTTCCAAAGAGCATCAGTTCCATTCTGAGTTCCCATAATCTCTCCTAGCTCCAGAAAGGACTGTTCCCCTTGGTCTTGAGTGACGATGTAGTCTGTGTCCGCAGTGCAGGTTTTACATAGCATATGTGGTTTTGAGTCCACCCTTATTTTCACTTCCATTCCTTCTCTTGCGCCTCATGGTGGGTATATTTTCCCTTCTTACCGAGTCTCCTGCCAGGTAGCCTTCCTGCTAAATGTGTAGGTCATTAAGTAACCATATGCAACGTCTGGTCTGGAGACATATTCATTTGTTGCTTCATTTGTCTTAAAACTGTGCAAGGACATTTAATTATAAAGACGTTTATTGTTTGCAGATTTAAAATGTATTTGCCTAACTCCAAGACATCTTTGGGTCTGGTTTTTAAAAAATTCTGTTTACTTAGGGTCTTTTGTTTGTTTTGCTTTGCTTTGTTTTTGAGACAGGGTCTCACTTTGTAGCCCTGGCTGGCCAGAACTCACTGTGGCTAGCCTCAAATTCATAGAGATCCACCTGGCTCTGCCTTTTTGGAGTTCTGGAATTAAAGATGTGTGCTTCCACATCCAGTAGTTTACCTCATTTTAGTACCATAGACTAAAAACTGAAATTGTTGTGTTTTGGTAAGGAAATGGCTAATTGTGAGCTGGGGTGGTCTAAGGAGGAATTGGAAGGCATTTCCGTTAGAGCAGAAGGGTTTTGGACAAAGATATCCCCATTAAATAGCTGGGTAAACCCCACTAAGATGCTTAACTATTAGAATGTTGCCCTTGATCAGAAGTGTAATAATAAAATGAGTCTTTTTTCTTTTTTAAAATTGTGTAAAGATAAAATTCTATCAGTGTACCAGGTGACAGTAGGCATGGTTTATTTATTTAGTTGTACATATTTATAGAGTTCTTTTTGTATCAAATGTTGGGGATGCAAACAAGCAAAGAAAGGCAATGTCTTTGCTTTAAATTCTTCAAGGAAAAGGGCAGGTAAAAAATGCAGATATTTAATTTTTAGGAGATGGTAATTGCTATGGCCAAAAGTAGAGCTTATAAATAAAATATATCCATTGCACAATAATGTTTTTACTTTCTATTTGTTGCTATACAAATTGCCCAAAACTGGGTTCATGTACAAGTGAAAATCCACCATCTCCCTGTTCTGGAGGTTAGAACTGAAATCAGTATGTTGGGGAGGCATCTACCTCCCAGCCCTAGCTTATTCCTGACCTGTTGTTAGCATCTGGTAGCTGTTAGCAATTCATGGCACACCTCGGCTTATGCCTCCTGCCCTGTCACATGTCCTTCTCTCCTGTATGTGGGGAGGGACTCCCTTCTGGCTTGGAGTTTCTTCCTCAGTTTACTTTTCTGCTGTTGTGTCCCATCATTTACAGACTGATGTTGACAAGCACACAGCTGCTTCTGCCTGTTGTTACAGCATCGCCCCCTGCAGGGGACCCTTTCCATTTCCCCTGAGAACTCATCACTAGTGTCTCTAACCAGCTTTGTGTCTGCATTCTTCTGTTCATCACAGTACATGCATGCCCTAAGACTATAGAAACTCCAGGGGTTTCACTTTCATCTGAATTTGAAATAAATGAACTTTGTTGTCTGTATTTCAAGATAGTCTAGTTGTTTCTTTTTGTGTGAAGTGCTTCAGGACACTTGAAGATGGTACTCATTATCCAGTCCTAACCCCCTTCCACTTTCACATCTGTGGACACTTGTTATCGTAGCCCCTTTACTGGTACTGCCATTAGTGCCACTCAGTATTCTTCAGAGAACAGGCATGACGAGGCTGTGTGAGGCCACTGGCAGACCTGAGTTGGTAGAGCAGGCTATCAGGCTCCAATGAAAGTTGTGGTGCAGTCCTGAGTATATTTTCATGTTGCCTGAGAAACCCTCGTTTGAGAAGCCCTAGTTGTTTCAGGACTCTTGGTTGATTGGAGGGAGCCTGGCTACACCATTGAGCACAGTATTCATTAGTACATCAGCCAGCTGTAGACATCAAGCACCTCAGTAACACAGAAGCACTACTAAGTGACTGAGTAACCAGTGGAGGATGGGATGGATTGGTACAGCCTGTGGAGGAGTGATGCATGCTGGGTGAAGAAGCTAGCTAAGGGTATGGGGAAGTTCTTTATAAATTGCATTCTTAGGCAGTGTAACAAATATTGATCTAATTAAATCAATTCTCCCTGTTCCTCTTTGATCTTTATTACAGTGGGTCATCTTACCCACTCTGCTTTTTGTTTACTTCTAACCTATCCACTCTGATTTACGCTGGGGTAGGATCATTTTGTTATAGCAAACTTTTAGGAACAGCTTCCAGCTAAACCAAAATGATGAAAGTAACAGGACTAGTGGACGGATTCAGATTTGGTTTGTAGGCCACTACTGCTCTGTAGGGGATTAAATAGGAATGGTTTTAATTAGTGCACCATCGAGATAAATGGGGCCTTTAAAAATGTGCCAGTTTACACAGTGTTTCCATTATATAAGGAGTTATTTCTGGGCTGTATAATGTAGTCTATGCAAATTTAAACTTTTGCTTAACTTTTAAACTTGCCAGGAACAAGAAGAAAAGGTCATTGGTATTCTATTGTTTGATTGTGTCAGAACCTTGTACACTAGCCTCCAGTTGTCCAGGATTGTATATTATATAACAACTGAAGGATTTTAATTTTAAAGGTCCCTCACCTCTTCTCTCTCTCTTACCCTCTCTCGCATTTTATTCTATAATCTACACAAACCTCTTGGCCCCTTTCTAAAATGACTTTGCTGCACAACCATTTTCTTACTGAAACTGTTTTGAGGTTCCATCAGCATCTTGCTTTCTGCTCTGACAGAGCTCATTTCTCAGTAGGAACAGGGGAGCCCTGTCCTGGCTCTGCTGCTTGGGACTGGCAAGTCGAGTGTGCTCTCGTTGATCCCGGGCTTCCTGTGACTGGCAGTGTTTATAAGCAGTGAGATCCATTAATCCGTAGTTGCGTTGATGTCCTCAGTGCTTTCATATGTTTGTTAATGGGTGTCTATGCTTTTATACACTTTTAAATTTTAATTTATTATTATCGTGTGTGTGTGTGTGTGTGTGTGTGTGTGTGTGTGTGTGCGCGAGTGCGCGCGCACGCGCGCACATGGACTCACACATACACACATGCCACAGAGTGCGTGAGGAAGGGACCCACGGATTGAACTCAGGCTGCTAGGTATTCGCTCAGCCACCTCAAGCCCCCATATGTGTTGTTTGTTAAGAGTATTTTGTATTTTGTTTAGAGTTACCCTTGCTGTGATCAAAGACTCTATTAAAAAAATAACTTAGCCCTCCTCTTTGCCTTTGAGAAAACAAATTGGGAACATTTTTTTCCCACCCACTATGTCCCTTTCTCCTTTCTTCCCATCCCACAGTCCCCAAGCTATGCGGAACATTTTTGTTGACATTACAGAACTCCTCAGAGCTTTTGAACATTTAATGTAGTGTCAAGTCATAAATTTTCCTCTTACAGAATGTTCGATGTGGGAGGTCAGAGGTCAGAGCGGAAGAAGTGGATTCACTGCTTTGAAGGAGTGACTGCCATCATCTTCTGTGTGGCCCTGAGTGACTACGACCTGGTTCTAGCTGAAGATGAAGAAATGGCAAGTAGAAGCACTTCTAGGGTGCAGCATGAAATGCTAGGAGCTGCAAATGTTGCCAGCAACTCTTCTGAGAAACCTTGAGAAATCCTTGTTGTGCATGAAGTATTTGAAAGTTCAGGCCCTTCGCTTCAGCTCCTCCACTGCTGTGTGAAGGGCTCAGGTGCTTAGGAGGCACAGGTGCTCCTCACTCCCAGCTGCCTGAGAATTCCCTGCATCTGCTCCAAGGCTCCTACTTCCTCACGTGTTACTCTCATGGCTTGTAACTTTGATAAATGTTATCCTTCCCTATTTATAGAAAAATAATTTCCAAATAGCACTCAATAATGTATCAACCTGGGGAAGCAGTATTGAATAGGAACTTAAAACTCTGGCACTTAAATGCAAAGGAAAATTTAGGGGAATTTCAGGTTTTTCTAAATCAAGTACATACAGTTATTGCCCAGGAGGGAAAACACAACATCACATACACATTTCTTTTATTCCAATACTATAAAGTATGTCAGTGTCCACTTTGAACACAGACCACCCCCACAAAGGGTAGAGAACAAAAACTGGAAGTTGTCTTTGTTAATATCCACAGTGCTGAGCTACTTGGATTTCAGTTCGCTCAGTTTAATAATTAGTCTCTAAAGCTTCCAGCTATCTCTTAAGCTTGGGTGAACTGTACAACAGTGACATTTCTTTGATGTGTTTATACATAGACATCCCTTGATTGCAACATGCTGCGGCAGCAGGATCTGGGGCATAAGACTTTACACAGTGGGCATTGAGCCCAGTGATGATTATGTGATGTTGAGACACTCAGCTTGCTTAAAATCTAAGTTGTGCTTGTGTAGAAATGACAAAAATGTATTATCATGGAATTATTATGAGCTCTAGATCAAGAGACCTGGCTGGATAGAGGCCTCAGTCCACTGGCCCTGGCCACCTATCACCTCAGAACTCTAAAAAGAAGGTGACTAGCCAGGACAAAGTAGGAAGATATTCATTCAGTATAGCCTTATGGAAAGAACAAGGTGTCAGCATCCTAGAGTCTTGTTGGATAGTGAGAAGAGCTCTTGGATTCAGTATGGGAAAGAAAAAGCCGGAAACGAGGTGGGGGTTGGGGGGTATGCATTATCCCACTGTCTGGGTCAAACTGTGGTCCAGTTGATCATTGTCACAGACCTAGTTTGCAGGGTCTCCTGCTGGCTTCTAGAAAATTGTTGTTGCTTGGGGGAAAGGGGAGAAATTCATTTCCCATTAGGAGGTAATTGCTTTCACTCGGGGCCAGCCTCAGTTTCAGCACAGGGAGTAAATCGCTAAGGCTTTCTTTGCTTGAGTTTGAAATCAGCCAGAGTGATTCAGACAGAACAGGTTAAGACAAAATTGAAGTTGAGATAACACCTGGGATGTCCTTCAGAGTGTTGAATGGTTTTCAGCTGAAAAGATCTGGTCTGTTGCAACATTTGTTCTTTTTAAAACTGTTCCTCAGTGCTTGGCTGTAGATCTCTGCATCTGCTCCCATCAGTTCCTGGATAAAGGATCTCTGATGACAATTAGGGTAGTCAGCAATCTGATTACAGTAGATGGCCGGTTCAGGCACCCTCTCCATTATTGCTAGAGGTCTTAGCTGGGGTCATCCTTGTGGATTCCTGGGAGTTTCCCTGGCACCAGGTTTCTCCCTAACCCCGAAATGTCCTGCCACCCAAATCAAGACATCTCTTTCATTACTCTCATCCTCCATCCTGCCTCCAACCCACTCCCTCAAGTTCCCATCCCCCATCCCCCCAGCCCACCTCCAGTTTACCCAGGAAATCACTTCTATTTCCCTTTCCCAGTGCAATCCATACGTCCCTCTTAGGGTCCTGCTTGTTACCTAGCTTCTCTGAAGCTGTGGGTTGTACTCTGGCTATCCTTTGCTTTACATCTAGTATCCACTTATGAGTGAGTACATATCATGTTTGTCTTTCTGAGTCTGGATTACCTCACTCAGAATGATTTTTTCTAGATCCATCCATTTGCCTGCAAATTTCATGATGGCATTGTTTTTTCATAGCTGAGTAATATTCCATTGTATAAATGTACCACATTTTCCTTATTCATTCTTAGGTTGAGGGGCATTCAGGTTGTTTCCAGGTTCTGGCTTTTATGAATAATGCTGGTCAGAGCTCTAGGTGTCATTCTGAAGAAAGAGAGGAGGGATTTTATGAGCCAGGGGGTCAAGGTCATGATGGAGGAATCCACAGAGACAGTTGACCTGAGCTCATGGGAACACATGGATTCTGGACCAACAGTTGGGGAGCCTGCATGGGACTGACCTAGGCCCTCTGCATGTGTGTGACAGTCATGTAGCTTAGTCTGTTTGTAAGGCTCCTTGCAGTGAGATCAGGACCTGTCCCTGGCACTTAGCTGGCTCTTGGAAACCTGTTCTCCATGCCCCATGATGGATTAAGTAGCCCAGCCTTTATGTAGGAGGAGGAGCTTGGTCCTACCTCAACTTGATGTGTGCCGTGAAGCCCATGGGAGGCCTACCCCTTCTGAATGGAGACTGAGGAGGAGTGGGCCCATGGGGGTGGGGAGGTAGATGGGAGTTCGGGGAGGGAACTGGAGGAGAGGAGGGAGAGGAAACTGTGGTCAGTGTGTAAAATAAAGGGAAAATATGTTAATTATATTAAAATACTGTTCGTCAAACCTTCACTGCTCATGAAAATTATTTTTTTGTTGCAGAATCGAATGCATGAAAGCATGAAGTTGTTTGACAGTATATGTAACAACAAGTGGTTCACAGACACCTCCATCATCCTTTTTCTAAACAAGAAGGACCTCTTTGAAGAAAAAATCAAAAAGAGCCCCCTCACCATATGCTACCCGGAATATGCAGGTATTTGACTTTTAGAATAATTTAGCAATCATGTGTTTCTAAGTAAAACTTCCCCTAAGGCAAGATTTTCAGTTGTTGGTTTGAATTCATCGGCTTACTCATTCTTGCACTGAATTTTCCAAACTGTCTCTGAATACAAATAGTTCTTGAAGGTGTGGATGAGTTTTCTGAAAATCCCTTATTCACTTTATGGAAAAGCTTTTAGGTGATTTCCAGAAATGGCCCCATGTCTTTATGAATTTAAAAACTGACTTGCTCATATAGATCACAGATTGGATCAACAAAGATAAGATCTGTCTCTGCTTGCTATCTCATCAAACACACACACACATACACACACACACACACTAAACACACTAAACACAAGATGCCTAGGACTGTAGGAAGACAGTGAAGAGGAGCCAGTGCGACAGCTCCTTCCTCTACGGTGTCTGGGAAAGTCTCTTAAGAAATCCAGTCCTCGATCATGAGACTCTTAATGGTGCTTGAATTTTGCCGCTATGGACAGTGTCCTCCAAGAGGAAAGCAGATTTGAAGTAAAGACCCAGCTTTTTCAAGATTAGATATATGATCTTTATCAAAGCAGATATTTATCAAGGGTCCAGTGCTGCCTCGTCTCTAAAACTGGAAATTGGGATAATGCATTGGTTTAAATTTGGTTTAGTTCCTTGGAGCACATCCCAAGCTGCTATTGAAAATGAGTCAATGTTCCTACATGTGAGCCCCAGACTTGGGAGGTGAATCAGGAAGATGAGTACTTCAAGGCCATCCTGGGCTACATAGTAAGTCCAAAGACAGACCAGAGTATATGAGAACCTATTTCCCCAAACAAAAAGTGAGTACCAGGGACAGAGCTGCTGACCTACTCACATATTTGCTTTAACCCAATCATGTATTCTTCCAGCCCTCGCATATAAGCAGAGGAAATTGGTTTTCATATTCATATTTAAGTGATGGGCCTTGTCTCTTTAAAAAATAAAACTGCCACTGGTTTGTATGAACTCTAAATCTAAAATCGAAATATTTTAATCTTTACATCAGTCTGTTTTAAAGAACAAAAAATTCTCCAGAACTTCTTTAAGTCTCAATACAGTTTCAGTTAGCGATGCAGTGAATGCAGTGATGGAGAGTGTTGAGAGAGTGTCCTCACAGGGCTGATGTTGGCTGGCCTTGGGGCTGGCCCTGAGGTGGTCCCATTCAGGCAGCTGAGAACAAGACCCCAGGGCACACGCATGTCTGTCTGCACTCAGACCTGTACCGGTCAAGCTGCTTTTAATTAGAGTCTCATTGGAAACAGAGAGGAAGTGTCTTTGATAAACACAGGAATATCACATTATTATTTGGTATCCCAAAGGCTAAGATTATAATTTCAAATCTGCACTCCCTGCTCTATGATTGGCTAAGTTGCTTCTTGCATCGACATCAGCTCCTGGGTCGCATGGTTGTGGCTTTGTGTGGATGAGGCTGTGTGGCCCTGCCAGCCTCGTGGGTGTGTCCTGCCTTCGCCTCTGCCTTGCAGTGCTCTTCCTCCCCATCATTGTGAGTTGCCATTTCACCGCCGTCCGTCTCCAGCCCTGTAATCTCTTTCCCAAACTATCCTTTCATAGTCATATTTATTCTTAACTGTGCAAAATTATGTTTTCAGCCCAAATTTCTCTCTGCAGCCACTTGCTTCTATTTTCAACTGCTTCCTGAACACAGTTTTTAGCACTGAAGTATAAACAAAGCTAATACTGTTTTCTTTCTCTCCTCTTTTCACTCTCTCATAAAGTTTCCGGTTTCCTAGTTTTGAAGTTGCTTTAACCCAATCATGTATTCATTCAGGAAAGTTCACATATTGAAAATACCTATCCTCCCAGCATGCATGTACACACAATTGCAGCACGCACGCGCGCACACACACGCGCACACACACACAGATGTAACCAACCGTCTTATTAAATAAGAAACACAGAGCCAATACAGAGATGAAAGCCAAGAGGTCAGAGCAACAGCTAAGAGCTGAAAACCTTACCCTTCACTGTCTCAGTGGTCCTACCTCTCCGAAAGAGACCTACTTCCTGTGTGTCTGTCTTTTTATAGGGTTTCTGTTCTGCCTTCTCATTGGTTGTAAACCCAACCACATGACCTCCTAGTCACTGCCTGTCCGTACAGACCTCCAGGTCTTCTATGGTTGGTATTGAGATTAAAGGTGTGTGTCTCTATGCTGGCTGTATCCTTGAACACACAGAGATCTACCTAGCTCTGCCTACCAAGTGCTGGGATTAAAGGTGTGCACCACCACCACCCAGTTTCTGCTATGGTTTGCTAATAGCTCTGACCCCCCGGGCAACTTTATTTATTAACATACAAATCACATTTTAGTACAAATAAAATATCATCATACACACATACTCTGCTCTTTCATTTTTCAGACTGAAAATCAGATCATAGAATGTATTCAGCAGTTTGCTCATGAATTTGCTAGCCCTTGGAATGTAGCAATTTAGCCACCCAAATGTATGTTGCAAATGAACTATGTCCTTGGTGTAAACTCCTTCACTCAAACACATTTGTAATTAATTTAGGGGTTATATTTTAATAGCTTTCTTTAACCTAATAAGCCATTGTTCATTGCATCCAAATTTTAGAGCACCAATGATTTAATAGAATATGATGTTTATAAGGTTATTATTATATAAAACAATTAAAATATAAATGTATTCAGGGTCTGTGGTTTTATCATCTATGCTATCCTGGGACACTAAACAGTCTCTCTCTGGGCCTTGCCCTGTGTCATTCATTGTACTATAGTTTTCTACATTGTGTGATAAAAGTGGTTAGGACTTGCAAGATAGAGTTATTGCATTCTGTATAGGATACCTAATGCTGAAAAAGAATTGAGAGCCAGCAAAGCATATCACAAAACTGAAGTAGTGTTTGTATTGTCTATAGGAGTTTTTAGTGACATAGAGGATTTGGTTAATTATGGGTTGTTATGTAGAGCACATTTTGAGCAGATGTGGAATGAGTCAGAATACTGGATTGTGAAGGACAGCAGAGAAACAGTGCTGCAGATAAGGGGCACGTTATATACTGAACTTTCATGGTATACACTGAGCCCCAGAATAAGGGGTACTTTATGTACTGAGCTTTGGTGATACATACTGAGCCCCAGATGTGGAACTGAGCACCTAAGAACAGAATCCACAAGCACAGAGAATCTTAAAAGGCAGACAAGTAATTTTGGGTTATTACAAAAGAGAAATTTAATAGGTTTTGTTCTGTTATATGTCTTAACCTATTTTCTGGCAATATTAAGTGCACATGAACACAGTTATCTGTAATGTGAGGCATGTTTAGAAAACCACAACCAATTAAAATGCATAGTTGCAGGGCCCACTTCCAGTTCATACATCCACGGATCACTCTTGCACCTAAGGGTCAGAGAACAAAGCTGGAGAGGAGGCAGAAAGATTGTAAGAGCCAGAAGATCAGAGTTCCCTGTGGGGTTGTGTCTCCTAGTGATTTCAGAAGGTGCACACATGAAGTCTCACCAACATGACTGCCTAAACACGAGCTGAACAAGGACAAGAGCAGTAGACATGCCAATGCAGATGGGGAAAACTCAAGAGGGCTCAGCCCTACACAGAGAAGCACAGGCAACTGAGGAACACTGAGAGCAGGAGAAACAGTCTGCTCCAGGGACGAGCACACCAGCTGGTTATTCGATACCACATAGTCAGCCCTGAAAACATGCATATAAACAACCTTTACAGACTGAGCAGGTTGTATTTAGGAACATATATGTATGAACACATATATGTTTACATGAAACAGCAATTAGTGATAAAGGAGGCTATGAATTTGAAAGAGAGCAAGAAGGGATATGTGGCAGGGTTTGGAGCAGGAAAGGGAACAGGAAAATGGTGTAATTATATTATAATCTCAAAAATGAAAGAAACAATTAAAGAAAAAGAAAAGGAAAGAAAAGTGGATATACAATATAAAAATACAAAGTCAGTATCTAATACCTGAGTCAAGAAACTGATCTGTCCAATACCCAGAATCCCTTTTGCCTCCTTTCAGTCTCAACTAAGCATCTCCCCTTCTCCCCCAACAAAATTATTTACGAGTGGCCTTTTCCTCACGCACCCATTTTGATTGTTTGGCGAACAGCTGTTAGGTCACACGGGTTATGTACATGTTTGCGTCTGGCTCCTTGGATCCAGAGAATAACCCAAAAGTTCACTCATGTTACATTGGCTTACAATACTGCTTACATCCTTACTTCTGAGTGGCCGCTAATGATGTGATGCCCCAGATCCCATGTGTCAGTGACAGTGCATGGACTGTCAGGCCGTTTCCTGAAGTAGAAGGCCATGCTCTAGCCTTCTTTGTGAATCTTCTTTGACCATAACATAAAGTTCTACCAAACCTACACCCAACAACTGGAATTTCTGGGTCTGTGTGCTTATCCTCAGATCCTGCCAATCCAGTTCTGAATTGTTCTTACTCAGAGCCAGTCTCTAGCCCCTCACCTGAAGGCAGGGGTATGCCATCATTGTTTATTCTAACTTCACAACCTTTAACCATATTACAGACTTGATATAAGTTTTGAATAAAAAGGGATGACAAAAGCATGTTAATGGGTAGCTATGAAGGGGTGAGGGAAACATTCAGCCAGCATTACTGATTCACCAGTCAGCACAATAATACTAAGCCACCATTAGGGTCTGGTGGCTTGAATTCTCCAGCTTGAGGATGTAGATGATAGAGGGTGATAGGAAAGAGGTCTGGCTCTTGGAGACTTAAGCAGAAACAGAGCACACATAGACTACCATGTAAAGGAGTTTTTAGGTTTAAAGATGGCTTGTAAAGATTACTTTACACAAGGTGTTTTTCATTTGAAAAAAAAAAGCAACACTTTGTTCTAGAAGGGAAAGTGAGATTATGGAATCCCTTTATTTTATATTTGGAAAATTGATCTGTGTTTTAAAGTGTGTTTTACTTATACTATACTTGTATAACTTTTTGTATACTTCTTTCTTTCTTTTTCCAATCTCAGGATCAAACACATATGAAGAGGCAGCTGCATATATTCAATGTCAGTTTGAAGACCTCAATAAAAGAAAGGACACAAAGGAAATCTACACCCACTTCACATGTGCCACAGACACGAAGAACGTGCAGTTTGTGTTTGATGCTGTAACAGACGTCATCATCAAAAATAATCTTAAAGATTGTGGTCTCTTCTAAGTTTTGCAGTTGATAGTAAAATGCGTTTTCAAACCAAATGAGTACTTATATATGGATCTCTCTAGACTAGAGTCTCCCAGCAACACAGAATGTAGTATACAGCAAATGCATCCTGGACCTGACCAAAGTTGCTCTGTTTTGTGTTTCTATCTGAAAGTCATAGGACCATTCTCAAAGATGAAAGATGCTCCTGTGATGTGAAAGTGAGGTGTGCTGTTGAAGCTGGGCTCTAGTGTACTGATGATTTCTGTGTAAGTGTAAATATGCAAATGTAAGATGTATTTATAACATTTGATTTCCCATATTATGTTTAGGTTGTAAGAATGGCAACTTACGATTCTAGTGTGATGGCTTTGGAAATAACATAAATATTAAGTATCTTGTAATGAATGACAGATTAGTTCTGTGTTTGCCAGTTTTAAACAGCTTTATTTATGTTTGTGTCCTATAAATTTTAGGTACCGTAATTAATATTAGGAAATGTCACAAACCCTTAACCTTGATTATATGTATACTTGTATTCATAAAATGTTATTTGTACAAACATTGCACAGACTATTTTAATAACATGAGTTGTTCTCTAAAGGTTATGTGTTTTGTGGGGATGTTCTTACAGAGGTGAGGCACACCCGCCTTTGTATCAGTTAGTTAAACATTGTGTGCATTGACATTTTCTTCACAGAGTGCATGATGTTTCAATTTTACCTTAGGTTTGTTTTAAAAAGCTAAAATTCCAGATTTTTGAGGAAAGAGGACCTTAGACTTAAAAACACTTCACTTTTAGTCCATGTACCAGCTCAGCTTAGCATCTGGATGGCATATCTGCATTGCCTTCAGGTGATGCCAGGTTAATTTTATACACTTAAATAACCATGGTTTTATTTACAATAAAGTTTAGATGAGTGAGGAAAGCATTTTTGTGGGTAAAAATTTTTTAGTATGTGAACTTTGAGACATTCATTTATGTATTTTCCTTGAGAAATCCCTTGTACTTAAGCATACATGACAGTTCTTTGTTGGGAAGATAACCAGAAAACACTCTATTACTGATAGTATGCAAGCTTTTGATTCATATGTAACTGGTTTCAAGTTTATCACTTTATGTCAAACGGCACTTCTTTTCCCTTAGACATCCAAATCCTTTCCACTTGCTGGAATTTATATTCTTTTAAAGCTACACTCTGATTTCTGACATTAAGAGGACAATTGCGCTTCGAAATTGAATAGTAGTATTTAACGAGATCAGTGAGTGTGTGTGTGCATCCGTGGGTGTTACATAGTGCTACATACTGAACTCTGTTAGTTAGTGCCATCCTTCCTCCTTTAATCGTTTACAATGTGTCTGTGGGCCCTTGTGTTGTCAGACTGAACAGCACTCCCCAGTTCATCTCCCTTTTTAACTCACCCTGTAACGTTAAGACTTTCTATAAACTTTGCCAGTGAATGGTTTCTCACTTGAGTCAGATGTTGCTACCCCCACAGTCTCCTTGTTGAAGTTTATGCATATGTAAGTGTAGGGAGAATCATAAACTACATTCACATCTGTTTACTTTGGGGGAAATTGTTTTCTTTTGTAATGTAAAGAAATTCAAGGTGATCAAAATTCCTTCAGTGTTAGTTTAGATTATTTTATGTGCCTTTCATGAAAGATATGTTTTCATTCATTTTACTAATGGAAGACCTGTCAGACCCACATTGTGAAGCTATGTATGAAATTCAACTATTATCTGAATAAATTTGAATGATGAAAAATAGGGTTTAAAAGCCACAAAGAAGCACATACTGGTGACCATCATTGGTGAATCCCTTAACTCTACTCTGTGTAACTGTGCTACTAATACATCCTAATAAATTTAAATTTTTAAAATTTTACAAACCTATTGACTGAACTCATTTTGCATTAGAATTTAGGTGTCTGTGTACAGAAGCTTCCTTCTTTTTTTCCAGTGCTCTTGTCTTTTTGGCTTTACCTGTCTGAGAAGCTTGAGTTTGCCCTAAGTGTTCTTGTACAGTATGATACCAAAATTTAAATTGCCTGCCTGCAAGCCCCTTATGGGAATTCAAACCCCATATCACTGTGCCCAGATCAATGCATCATCATTTTCTCTTAAACCAATTATTACCCTTTAACTACTGCTGCAGTTTTGATATTGAATGTATTCCAAAGACCCATGTGTAATTTGCTTTGTCCTAGGGTGGCTAGATGGCAGGCAGAGTGTAGGGGTCCTTAGGCCATGAGGGTGTCCTTTAGTAGAGGCTTGTGCAGATCTGGCCCCTTCTTGCTTTCTTTAATGCTTGGCTTAAGAAGTGAGTGGATTCATTTTACCATGTGCTTCTATCACGATGCCTTGCCACAGAGTTTAAACAGTGTGGTCAGTCTCTCAGACTGGAATCTCCAAACCCATAAGCCAAGATAAGCCTTTTCCCTTTGTAAGCCTGTTATCTCTAATGTGTTGTATAGTTACAGAAAGCTGCATAACATACCTGCTGTGTAGCATCTTCATCCAGATACATACAATTCAGAGGTCACATTGGTTCAAGACATCTATGAATGTGGTCCAACACATAACCAGTAACTTACTTAAAACTTTATCAGAGAGAGAGAGAGAGAGAGAGAGAGAGAGAGAGAGAGAGAGAGAGAGAGAAGAGAAGAGAAGAGAAGAGAAGAGAAGAGAAGAGAAGAGAAGAGAAGAGAAGAGAAGAGGAAAAGAAAAGAAAAGAAAAGAAAAGAAAAGAAAAGAAAAGAAAAGAAAAGAAAAGAAAAGAAAAGAAAAGAAAAAAGAAAAGAGAGAAGGGGTAGATATTCCTGACACTTTCAGTTGAAATTGGCCACCTAGAACTCTGCATATCTTCGGTCTCCATCTCTAGATGGAGAATTCTTTTTCACTTAATCACCTTGAGTTTATAGTTATAGGGGGGTGAGTGTTTTATCTTTTTTACCCCCTGTTTTCATGTCTTTGTTGAGCTTACTCTTAAAATGGCTTGTTGATGAAATTCAGTCAACCCCTTGTAATCTAGGTTGGCATGCTTAATAGAAAATTGTACTGTGTTGCCCTCTGTTTTAATCCACACTGGTTCTGACTTATTAATACAATTGAGTATTATTTCAAGCCTTCCAGTCAAAGCCTTTCTCTCTTGAGCTTATTTCTATACTTTGCAGCTCCTCTTTTATACATGTAAATGGTGCCTTGTGCTTGGCTGTAGATGTGACCAACAATCTTATTAAATAAGAAATACAGAAACAATGTAAAAGAGAAAGCCGAGAGGTCAGAGCTCAGAGCTAAAATCTCACCCTTTCTCCTGCCGTGTCCCAGCTTCCCGAAAAAGAGCTATATCCTGTCTGTTCATCTTTTTAAATATTTTGTTCTGCCTTCTCATTGGTTGTAAACCCAAACACATGACTGCCTCGTCACTGTCTGTATGTACAGCCCCCCCAGGTCTTAAAGGCATATGTCTCCAATGCTGGCTGTATCCCTGAACACACAGGGATTAAAGGCGTGTGCCACCACCGCCACATTCTTGCTATGGCTCTAATAGCTCTGACCCCCGGGCAACTTTATTTATTAACATACAATCAAAATCACATTTCAGTACAATTAGAATACCACCACACTTGGCCCAACCTTCCTATAAGTATCATGTGCAGTGTGCTTTAAAACTTGCCTTGGCGGTTCCTCAGAAAGATGGGAACCGATCTACCTCAAGATCCAGCTATACACCTCTTGGGCATATACCCAAAGGAACTTTAGCCTATCACAGGGACACTTGGTCAACCATGTTCATTACTGCTCTATTCATAATGGAAATTGAGAACAACCTAGATGCTCCTCAACAGATGAATGAATTAAGAAAATATGGTACAATTACACAATGGATTATTATTCAGCTATTAAAAAATATGACATCATGAAATTTTCAGACAAATGGATGGAACCAGAATAAAACATCCTGAGTGGGTAACTCAGACCCAGAAAGATAAGTATGGTATGTATTCACTTATATCTGGATATTAGGTATTAAACAAATGCTAATCAAGCTATAATCCATAGACCCAGAGAAGTCAAACATAGAGAAAGGGACTGGGGTGGGAGGGACACATGGATCTCCCTGGGAGGGGGAAAAATAGATTTTATGGGTTGACTGGAGTGGGGGGTATAAGAAGAGAATCGTCAGGTGAGAAGGGGGAGGGGAAGTCAGATTGAGGGAGGGAGTTAGGGGACAGACAGCAAGAATTGAAGGGCATCTGTGGGGTGGTATGAAAACCTAGTGCAGTCTAAACTTCCTATAATACATAAAAGGCAATTCTAGTGAAGTCTCCAAATAATGAGGGAGAAGAACCCCAACTGGCCATCCTTTGCCACCAAAGCTTCCAGCACCCAGACTTGATTTCATCTAATTGAGTTGTTGGTCAAAAGAATCTCATGGAAACTCCCAAATAACCTAGACTATTGCTGAGACAATAGGTTGCTCCCCACAAACTGACAGCAAGGCCCTATTGCTGAGAACAACACCCACACAACTCACTGAACATGGAGAAGTTGAGCTGGTGCCTGCATGCCTTCCCCCTACGTTCTAGTAGTGTCTTTGGTGTGGGTAGGTACTCTACAGGCTGCCAAAGGAGAACAATAAACACCAACCTAGCCACAAAGTCTTTGACCTAAAATCAGTCTTGCCTACAAAATATGCTAGGGTAATGGTGGCAGAGAACATGTGGAAGTAGCCAGCCAATGTCTGATTTGACTTAAGGCCCACTCCATGAGAATGATCGTATACCTGACATTGCCTGGCTGTCCAAGAACAAGAGACTGGATAACCCACAGAACTAGAGCATAACCGAATACTACATAAAACGACTCCTAATGATATGACATTGCCTGGCTGTCCAAGAACAAGAGACTGGATAACCCACAGAACTAGAGCATAACCGAATACTACATAAAATGACTCCTAATGATATTCTGCTATACTCGTAGATCAGTATCTTATTCAGTCATCATCAGAGGAGCTTCCTCCTGCAGCAGATGAGGAGAGTCGCAGAGACCCACAGCCGGACACTACACAGAGAAAGGGAAAGTCCTTGAAACACACAGCTCTCAATGGGCTGTTTCCATTAAATGCCTCCTGTCAGAGCTTAGGAAACCCTGAGGAAGAGGAGCTGCAAATAGTGTTAGACCCAGACGGGCTGGAGAACACCAGGAGAACAGGACCCTCTGAATCAACTTAGCAATGCTCATATGAATTCAGAGAGATAGGAGCAGCAAGCATAGGGCCTACATGGGTCTGCACCATGATAAATATATATATCTTTCACCTTAATACTTTCATGGGACTCCTGAGTGTGTGAATCAGAGTCTCTGTAACAGGCTTTCTTTTGGGCCACCCACCAGCTCCTAAATCATGACACAGAGACCTATTATTAGTTATGAATGCTCAGACTTAGTTTATGCTCATTTCTTACAAGCTATTATAACTTATTTTAACCTATTTCTCTTCATCTACATTTTGCCTCAGGGCTTTTTACCTTTCTTTCAGTCTGTATGTCCTACTTTCACTGCTTCCTCCATGTCTAGCTGTCTGACTGTCTGGCCTCAGGTGTCTCCCTCTCTTTCTCCCTTCTATCTACTCCTTTCTACTCATCTCTACTCT